GGGTCGGTCGCTCGAAAGCCGGCAATGTACAGTCGGTTATTAAAGCTAGTAGTTATATGTAGCAAGCAACATGCAACATGGCAGCGTCCTTGTGCATTCTTCGAAAGTTAATGTTGGATAACTTGGCTATTTTCCATTTAAAAATTCATTTTTCTCATGGAAAATTATTAATGTTAATTATGCAAAACTTTCTATTGTCTTCGGCTTTGTGAAGCCATATCGATACTTTTGCGGCTGTTCAAAAATCAAATCTCACGAGTTTTTCCGTGTGTTCGTGTAAAATCTTGACGAGGAGGTGGTGTTTGATCCTGTTCCGAGAACAGTGTTCTTGGGTCGTGTTCCCGCCGTTCGAGCGCGGGAACACGAAACCCGTGTCAAGAACGGACCACCCGACCTCGACAGATATGTAAAGCATGGTTTCCATATCGACCTAAGAAACGCAGAGAGCAATGCAATCAAGACGCAAACTGAAACGCGGACATATTACACTCTGGTGATCAACTAAATAGCTGACCATCAACGAAATGCATGAAACTGGGGCAGGCTTTGGGCCCCATGAGGCGGTACAGTCTATCTAAAAAAAAATCTCAAAATTTTAAATGAAATGCAAGAAGTAAAGAGTTTCCAATTTGTTAATTTCATCCAGTCATCTTTGAGTGTGAGGCTTATTCGTACACTTTTGAAGAATCTGACAGATGTGATGGAATCATTCAGTGTCCTAACGGCGATGACGAAAAGGATTGTGGTAAGACGTTCAGTCCCTTTACAACTTTCGAACTAGTGGCAAAAATGCACGTGATCTGTCATACATCGGACATCTTTTTGAATCAAATTGTTGGCGATTTAGTAACTCCTTTCATATTGTTCAGTGGCAGACGGGAGAAACATTATTACAAAGACACAAAGTTTTGATCTGTTTTATCTGCTTTATTATTAAAAAAGTAAATGATCATTGAGCACTATTCTATGTAGGAAACGTGGCATTTTAAAACAAAAACATCTCATTACTGAAAGAGAATTCAGTACATTTTATTCTTTAAAAAGAGTGACGTAAGATACCATGTTTTCTTTGCAGGAAATGACTAAAGACAGGGTAACCTGGACCTGGGGGTGGTTTTGTCAAACACCCGAAACAGTGGGGATGACGTTACATTAACCTGCGCAGTTTGTGGGAACATATCAAACGCACACTGTACACAATTATTAAGATAATTTCCTCGCTATTTTAAAATGCACACAATTGCATCTCACAATGGAAACATTACAGCCTCAAAGTAAAAGATGTAAATGTCCCATACGCTTCATACATTAAATATGTTTTTTGTAGATTGTGTTGCTAACGAGTACCGATGTCGTGATAGCATCTGCGCGAGTTCAGCCGATGCAGAATGCAATGGCATACCAGAATGTCTGGATTATTCAGATGAAGGAGTTACCTGTAATACCGGTAGGTTTACCACTTCTGATCCTCCAGCAAAAAAAAAGTTATTTGGAAAATTAAAAACCCAGATCGCAATTTCGAAATCAGTAATTCAGTGCAAAGTATTGGATATATCGAAAAAAGAAGTTTAAGTGCTCGTTTTGTCACCGTAACGTGTTTGATCTTTTTTATCATTCTTTCTTGATATCCATTAAGCTTACTGCATCGAAATTCAGAGTGAAGTGTGCTCAGCTATTCTGACTTACAATACCACCTACTTCCCGAACGACTTCGTGTCATCCCATCGACAAGCGAATGACTTCATTGCTCAACATCTGCCTCAACTTACAGCCAACTGCACCGATAGCGAGAGACTTGCTCTGTGTATGTCGTTCTTCCCAGAATGTCCTCAGTTTGGTTCTGACCGAAGAGTCTGCTCAACATTGTGTTCCAGAGCTTTAAAATGTGTCGGTGTGGACACGGATTCTAACACCACAAGTTTGTCGTGTGAAGTCTATCCAGACCGTGGTTTGCTGTCAACATCGGACGGTTGTTTTTACCACAGAGCAGGTGGGTCGGCAACAATGTACGTTATTTGTAGTTTTTGCTCTGTTATCTGGGAAAATCTTGTTGAAATAAAGGCAGTGAGTTTGTTGTTATTGTTCCATTGTCTGCAAATTGAGAAGAGAGAAACAAGTGTCATTAGGGTGCAAACGGGCTGGCTTCCATTTGTCGGCCCATCTTGAATTTTTGGACGAGAAACCTTTTGACTTCACAAATTAAGAACACTCTCACTTTGCCGAGAACAACAATATGAGAGCGCAATGATTTTTGGGTGTAGGTCGCGATGAGAACCGAAATTATGCGGTTGTGTGTTATAGGCCTACGTATTTAGAAGAGCGCACTCATGCATCGCGATCTATAGCTGGTGAAATAATTGCCAAATACCTTTAACCACTGTTGAATTTTACCAAGTAATTAGTACCTTTTAAACTATGTATCCAGATGTGCTACAAGCAGGAGACTGTGGGCGTCGACCAGCGGCCTCGCCTTCTCTCAATCCTTTCAGTCGTATCGTTGGTGGAGCTCAGACGCACATTGCCAACTGGCCTTGGATTGGTTCATATCGACACGCTAGTGGATCGCATGGATGTGGAGTATCACTAATCAGTAGATATTGGGCAGTCACAGCAGCACACTGCACGTAAGTTTAGAAAAGGGAAAACTCTTATCGGTCGACATCCATGAAATTTTAATCATCGTTGTGCAATTGTTGATTTGTATGTAAGTGTCATTCCAGCATAAACGTGAATGATTTTTTTCTGAGACGTTTACTGATGTGAAACTGGAAAAACACAAAAAACGTTCCTGTAGCATTCCCCAGACACCGATACAAAGGGGAAATTAAGCCATCATAGTTCCCGCAAAGAATAAATAAAAACAGATTCTCTTGGGAGTTCGAAAGATCACATTAAACAGCAGGCCTAACTCAACTTCATAACGGCAGTGGTCGGGAACTATATGTTGTGAAAGAGTTACTGTCCTCTCTAGATCAAGGTATAAAATACCTTGTTCCACAAACCAGTGGAAAAAATTGTTTCAAAAGTTTTTAAAAATAACTGAGAAGTTTACATCTGATCCACGGTTACAGATACAATAACCTGACTTCTTTTTCTTTCTAGGCATCTGCAATACGTAGTGTTTGGCAGTTCAACTTTGGATATTCCATTTAACTACCAGCACGTCTATAGGGTTAGCAAAGTATTCAATCATCCTTTGCATAACTCCCCGAGGTACCACAACGACATTGCGCTTCTGAAACTGGCCTCCCCCGTACGATATACGGACACCGTCCAACCAATCTGCTTGCAAATTGCTGACAATGAAACTGAGGTCTACGACAGGTGCCATGCAATAGGTTGGGGCCGAACTTCGTACGGAGGTAAATGTTGATGCCTTTTGTAAAAAGACTCACAGAGAAATTGAAAGGCAGTTCTTGGTTCCGTTGTGGAGTTTGTTGTACATTTTCTATATGACGTCGATCCTGCTTTCCAAGGATATATATCAAATTTTGTTTTCCAACTAACTTGCTTTTTCTTCGAGTACGAGTACTCTGAAAACGGTACTCGAGTAGTACTCGAGTACGAGTACCGAGTACGAGTACTACAACACTGATGCCATGCAATGGGTTGGGGCCAAACTTCGTACGGAGGTAATCAAGACTCATGGGGGTACGGAAGGGTGGTTCTTGGTTACGTTGTATAGAGTTCACGTACATTTTGTGTATTATAACGTCCATCCCGTATTTCGAAGGATATCAATATTTGTTTTCAAAATAACTGGTTTTAATTGTGTATTACATGTTATTTCCTCTATTTGCACTTAATTTGAGTTCAAATACTTCATAACCCGAACATTATTTGAAAGACCACTAAAATTGTTGTCGTCGTTAGCATTTTATTTTGAAATTTTCTCTTAAAATAAATCCTTCACTTCATTTTGAAAACACATATTGAATTTTGGATAAGTAGCATGAAGTGAGTTATACCTTCGACCACCTTGATTCTCAAATCTTGACCCTTTTGTTTCCAGGTATCGTCTCTCCTGTCTTGAAAGAAGCACGTGTGCCTCTACTGGGGTGGGAGCAATGTAAAGCTAACAGTGAAATTCAGGGACGACTATTTGTCTCATCAAGTCAGATATGTGCTGGAATTGGAGACGAAACTAACAAAACCTGTAATGTATGTTGGAACCTGTTCATAATAATTAACGTTCTTTCAAATATTGATTTCCCCGGTTAAATTGCAATTTAAAAGAAGCGGTGGTGCGCGTTTAGGAGAGACGTCTGATTATCGATTTGACTCATTTATCAAAACCTCTTTATCTTGTCCAAATTGTAAAATTGCTTCTCGAAGACCTATCTTTTATTGAATTGTTTAATGATTTTGTCAGGAACGTGCGAGTTATGCTGGCCAACCATAATGAACGATTGAGCTGCTTTGCAATGCAAATTTTACCAAGACCTAAACGGCTTGTGTTGTAGTCGTGCTCTTGAATTTCATATTAAGTTTAAACATTACTTAGCTTTAGTTATCGTTAGCCTTATCACGTGAGATTGTTTTTTCGTACCTTTGTGTGCAGGGTGACAGTGGAAGTCCACTGGTCTGTCAGGGCACGGACGGCCGGTGGAAGATGGTTGGCATTGTCAGCACTGGTGTTAGATGCGGACAAACTGCCCCCACCGCTTTCACAAGAGTCTCACAGTACATTGATTTCATCAGATACACAATCGCTTCAGGTAAGATCATATAAAACAGAAATAACACGAAAATTTGCTAATTTGTGACAGGTCTTAATCCTGGTAATTCCCTGTCCTGTTGGAAAAAAAGAGGACTTTTGTCAAACTTCAGACCTTTAGGACAGTTTTATTTTGGCCGTAGTAATGAACGCAAGGTTATAACAATTGTGTTTGCAGAGGTTTATTAACAAATGCTTCAGAAGGTGAACCTTTTGTTCTGTTCAGATTCCAATCTATGCAGTGTGGATGACTTCAGATGTAGCTCTGGGACTTGTATAACGCCTGAGCTCGTGTGCAATACGTTCCCTGACTGTGACGACGGGAGTGACGAATTATCTTGTGACCCTGGAGGTATGAATTATTTGAGATAATGTTAACACGAGAAAAGTATTCTTCTATAGAAAGGAAAATTGGAAACAGCATGTTGTGGAGCAGTGTTATGAAGAAAAATCCGTTATGCTTGTGCTTGTAAATCCCGATTTAGTACATTGCACCACATCACCTCCAAATTCAAGCAAACGTTCAGTAAATGTTGCCTTCTCTTACACGCATGTGGATTACAAAAGCGCAGTAAGTGTTGGTCTTCTGAGCAGCCTGTCTTCCTACCCAGAACTTTAGTATGAAGTCTTGCTTTGGGTTAAAAAAAACCTGGGACAACAATGTGTTCTGCTCTTTGGAAAACATTTCATATACGCGTTCATTAATTAAATTCTTACAGGAAGCCTCTCCGTTTCTCTGGATGAAAATGAAAGAATCCATCTGCTCTCACCTTTTTACCCGATGAATTACATCAACAACCTGAATGTAATTTGGAACATCTTCACTGAGGACGGTTTCAAGATTTCCATAAAGTTTGTAACATTCAGCACCGAGCAGGGTGACATTTTGCAGGCTGGAGATGGCGTCTATGCTGTCAATGGTTCTACGAATTTTTTCTCGTGGAGTGAGATGAGGCGCCCACCTAGTCTTCTCTCAAGTAATAGCACCATGTGGCTGAGATTTACGTCTAATTCCTTTAACACAAGAAGAGGATTTAATATCACTGTCACCAGCGTTCCCTCAAATGGTATGAAAATGATCAATAGGGCCTACATGTAGTTCTATCGCGTGTTTGTGTCGTGGAAATTATTTCATTTTTAGGAAGATGATAAACATTTCAGTCATGGTTATTTTATACAGTGATGTAGATTAGGTGGTTATTCACTAAATCAAAAGTCTTGAACTTACTGATCTTTTTCCCGTTGTAGAAAGATAAATGTTAGCTCCTTTTTTCTCTACTTTGTTCATTTAAAAAATATACAGAATGTGAGATACGAGTGACGCTGACTATACTGCTTATGACGCGCAGGGCACCAGTTTGTTATATTTGCCTTTAACCTACAGCAGCATATTGATTTTGTTTAATTAGCTTTTGGTTTCTTAATTGTTTATTCAACCTGGGCACAGATCTTCAAAACTACCAGGTTCATGGTTTGCCGGTAATGAGGTTTCCTTCATTACACATTTTAATTTTCGGAAAAATTTCCATTAGAATCTCTGAATTGTACGGAAGAGGAGTTTGACTGTGGACACTCTGTCTGCATTGATCGTGGCTGGTTGTGTGATCGACAGATCGATTGCTCTGACGGCCGAGATGAGGAATTTCAGTGCGGTAAGTTTTATTTCCACGTGAATATTTTGTCAGTGGACAATGAAATTTTTCCATTTTTCAATTCATCGTTTGCTACAATTTCCTTTTAATTTAGGATGTGTGTTGAACACCTGCCTGAACAATGGAACTTGCCATCCCGTTGGAGGATCTGGTTTCAACTGTCACTGTCATGAGGGCTTTGGTGGCACTCTGTGTGATATAGGTGAGGCAAGTTTTGAACCCTCAAAGAGCCGGG